CTCTGCTTCAAGCATCCCTCCTCTGATTAGTGAAGGGACGATAAAAGTTTAGACCTTCTGCTCTTTTGGCAGTAGAGAAGCTGCTGAAACACAAGGTAATGTCATAAGCACCAGGCCATATGGAGGCATCTCTCTCAAGCATTCCCCAGTAATTTTGCTCATTTCTAGGGGGAAAATGCTGAGGTGTGATAGACTTCCAGCATGAGAACCTCAAATGTAGGACCTTGTTCATTATGACTGTTATGTCTCAGCCTGCATCAACCCTTTGAACTAAGCCAAATCAGGAAACAGATTCTAGAATTCTAGCTGGAAATTTTACTTTATTGAAATAGGCTACAGTTACAGAACTTTGAAAGCCTGATGGAGCGGAGTTGGCTGAATTTTTCTCCAATATCTTTGAGAAGTCCTGGAGAACAAATAAAGCTCTAAGGAATTTGAAGTGCCAAATACTGTCCCTATCTTAAAAAGAGAGAAAAGGAAGATCCAAAGAAACAGAGGCCAGTTACTCTGATACATAAAAAATTTGCAGCGAATCATAAAAATAATCTATAAACACTCTGAAAAGAATGTATTACTTCCCAGATGACAGCATACATTTTTCAAAAATAAGGCAACTACTAACATTAATTTTATGATTAACTTTCTTAATAAATTGTGGGAGTGCTGTAAATGCAACATAGTTTGATTTCATCAAAGCATTTAATAAAATGATTATGTTATCAAGTTAGCATTGATGCTTAATGACCGCATTCTTTTCTCCAGGATGATCTATCCCCAGCCTAGTTTTTCAGATCTTCCAACAGACATGCAATATTGCTGTAATTGAGTCCATCCACCTTACTAGTTTGTTTTTTCTGTTCTTTCCTTTCACCTTTCCCAGCAGAGTGGACTTCTTGATGATGTGTCCAAAGTATAATAATTGATCTTGGTCATCTGTACCTACCTGAGTGAGAACCCTGATTGATTTGTTCAATTATTGTTTTCTTGGCTATCCATGACCTTCTCAGAAGTCTTCTGTAGTACTACAGTCCAAAATACTTTTTCTGTCCCATTTCTTAAAAATCTACTTTCACTTCCATAGTGCATCACAAGAAAACCATTGCCTGAACGTTTGATAAAATACCCTGACCTATTAACAAACCAGTTAAGTGTAGGGTGGATGGCATAATAATAAAGTGGACAAATATATATATATATATATATATATGTATATGTATATATATATTGCTTAACATTTGTTCAAAGGGTACTGATTAAATGGAGAGATATATCAACTGGGATATCAAAGCATTAATTTCTGGGACTGTAAAAAATGTTTTCCCTAGCTTAGAGAAAAGGGCTGAAAATACTAAATAACATTAATAGAAGCAAACATAAAAATCTTCACTTAGGAAACAGATCAAATACACAGAGTGAAAGTAGGAATACTTAGCTTTGCAATATTACAGTGAAAAGCATCTTGGAACAATAGTTTATTCAAACAATATAATTTAACAATGTGTTATTGCTTCAAAAATGAGTTTCTCTGCAAATCATGGGAAGTAATAGTTACGATTTATTTCAAGGTGGTAAGGCCCCCATGAATATTATGTCTAGTTTTTTATTCCATATTAACAGATTTACTGACAGGCCACAAGGATCACTTGAGATAGAAACTAATCATAAGAAGAAAGATCGAAGGATCTGGTCATGTTTAGCCTAGAGAAGAATAAAGGATGATGTAATAGCAAATACCCAAAATGATATCATAGAGAAATGAAATCAAGATAGCCATATGCATAACACAGGATAAAGAACAGATTTCAATTTAATATTAGTAAAATGTTTCAACACTGATGTCCAAAAGTGGCAATGAAGTTCTCTTCACTAGATGTGTCCATGTAGAACCTAGACAACCATCTGTTGGATAGACGCTTTAATTTGAATATCTACAGTGAAGTTGGTCTCAGTGGCCTAAATCGATCCTTCCAACACAATGATTCTTAATTGTAAGTCTCCCAGAGTTGCCCTGTGGTGAGATAGCTAGTTTCAACTCTACACACGTGGATTTGGTTGTTCATGCCTGGCAAGGAGCTTGGGAGGTAGTTTAAAAGTACGTATGATACTCCTTGCACTCCCTAAATATGGACACCTCCCAAAACTTTTTTCCCCACTTGTGAGGATTTAGAGGCAAATTAAGTCTGACCAATATTATTATTACATCAGTCTCTGTTTTGTGTTTTAGTCCAGGGCTTTTCAACCAGTGGTACGGGTACCACCTGTGGTACATTGGCACCTGGCAGGTGGTACACGACCATCCTAGAAAAGTGGTAGCGGGGGAGGGGAATGAGCTGAATCGGTGGCAGCACCGTACAAGTCTGAGCGAGAGACGGCTGGAGCTGCAGGGCTGTCAGAGCTCAGCGGAAGCGCCAGGATCAGCGCTTCTTCGGGGCTGTCAGGATCAGTGCCAGGCTCCAGCTGGGCCCAGAAGAAGCACTGATCAGCTGGAATGTTGCAGCACCTCCAGGGTCTTGTGATTTACATTCAGATGCTTGGCAACTGATTCATATTTATGATGGTCACAGTGTCCCAGGGTCATGTGAAGTGACCAAAACCTGCTGCAACCACCCAGCAGACGGGGGAATAAAAACCAAACACCCCCATCCCACCCCCACTGCCAATCCTCAACAGAAATGCTTGCTCGGCTGTGGCTTGGGGGGCACTTTTTCAGTGCCATTGTAACTTCGAACAGTCACTAAGCGAACTGATGTAAGTTGAGGACTACCTGTACTTTATCACTTTTTTCCTTTTTTTTTTTTTTTTTTTGGTCATCAAGTTTTTGACACTTTGCTAGGCGACTGGTGGTACTCGGATATTGCCATATCCTAAAAGTGGTACAATGGGTGAAAAGGTTGAAAAGACCTGTTTTAGGAGACTAACATTAAGTAATGTTATAAAAAGTTTGATTATTCCGCAACTGCCCTTGATCAGGGCAGGCAAGCCAAAAATAAGTTTGTCACCCTGATCTAAAAATAATGATAAACAGTTATAAATATCAATCGAACTGGAGTGTGTTTTAAAAAGACAAGACAAATGGTTCAGTCCCAAAATTTGTTGCCTCAGCAGTGGCGCATCATAGAATTGTTGTAATATTGCAAAGTGATGTTCTGTTTTATGTATACTTGCCACATTTTTTCGTCACCTTTATCCAAACCAATTGTGGAGAAGTCTACAGGAGACTAAAAAAGAACTTTCCACAATCATAGCATTGAATGCTTTCTTTGTGACTTCATGCCCCCTTTATGTCCTTTTCTGTTTAGCTCTTCTGGGGCATTTTAAGTACATGTATAATCCAAGTAACGTTAAGTGCTTTAAAGGTGAAGTTAGATGTCAGTCTGGTGAAACTAACTCAGTGCTATGAGTATGTGCTCAAGTCTATGTTCAAGTCCACTTAATGCAGTACAATGTTTGTAGTACAATATTTTAGCCTGGCATATTTCTTGCTGTTTGTGGTCATGCAAGCTTTGGGCAACTGGATGATTGGAATAAACAATGGTTATGTTTACCGATTAGCATGTAAAAACCTCCAGGTTATCAGGTATACTTGATGGCAGGAACTGAGCCCAAAATATTTTGTAGGGAAATTGTATGACCTGAGAATACAGAATAGTCTTTGCTCCAGTCTTCTAATATTTCAGCAGTTTAGATCTATTGGAGACTGTTTATACAGGATTCATCTTGCTCTATCTACTCCCAAATCCACTCCATTTAGGAGATTCCTCTGAAGCAGAGTTGAGGGCAATTAAAGGAAAGTTCACTTGCACAGCCAAAAGAGTACAGAGAAGAGCAGTAAAGATGATTAGGGAACTGGAGGCTGAAACATATAAAGAATTGTTGCAGGAATTGGGTATCTCTAGTTTAATGAAAAGATGGAATAGGGGTGACATGATAGCAGTGTTCCAAATCTAAGGGACTGCCATAAAGAAGAGGGGGTCAAACTATTTTCCAAAGCACCAGAAGGCAAGACAAGAAGCAATGGATGGAAACTAACCAAGGGGAGAAGCAACCTAGGAGTAAGGAGAAATTTCCTGACAGGACAATTAATCAGTAGAACGACTTGCCTCCAGAAGTTGTGAATGTTCCAACACTGGAAGTTTTAAAGAAGAGATCGGACAACCATTTGTCTGAAATGGTATAAGGTTTCCTGCCTGAGCAGGGGGTTGGACTAGAAGACCTCCAAGCTCCCTTCCAACTCTGTTATTCTGTTATGATGTTGGATGCAGTCCAATGAAAAGCCGAACTTCTCTTCTGACCAACTGTTTTAAATACTTAATGTTCTTTGGGCTCTCATATGACTTATTTCATCATTAAACTGTTAAAAACTAAGCCAGGGTAATATTACAGTCCATCTTCATTCAGTGGTGAGACAAGTTAGCCAGCCTGGATTTGTGTAGTTGACATAATAGGGCAGGACTATGCTATGCCAAGACATGCCAGGAGAAAAGAAAGCAGAACACCGTGGTTGACATAAGACAGTCAAATAACGATACTCTTTGGCACATATTTGTAGAAAAATTGATGTTTTTTATTGGGAAAATACAATTGGATGCAGTATCAAATAACATATCTGGATAATGCATGTTAGGAACATGTTAGAAGTACTGTAAATTGCAGCTTTGCAGGAATCATCCCATCAGGTTAGAGTGATTCATCGAGTAACTGTAAACCACTTTGTGTAGTTCTCCTACCTCACATATTTTTAGGAATGGAGCATTAAGTTTTCATTTCATAATGCATGATCCCGTGCCTCTATGTGGTGCCTGGACAAGTGTCCAAGGCTGAGTACTTAATTGGGACAATATAAGTGGCAAGAGGCATATATCCCTTTCAGTTGCCTCCTCTGTAAGATGTGGGGTTTTCGAAAACTATTGTATTACAAATATTTTAAGATATATAAGTAATTTTGTATGGGTACAATGATATTAGCCAACCACTTGTTTGCTTGTTTTATTTTAACCCAGCATTAATGTATGCAAGCATTTTTGGAAATGTATCTGCAATAATCCAAAGACTATATTCTGGAACGGCACGGTATCACATGCAGATGCTACGTGTGAAAGAGTTCATTCGCTTTCATCAGATTCCCAACCCACTGAGGCAGCGGCTCGAAGAATATTTCCAGCATGCATGGACGTACACCAATGGCATTGACATGAACATGGTATGTACATTTGCTTTTAGCAATTAATGCACACAAACATATACATATGTGTTTAGCAACTAATGCACACAAACATATACCCAAATGGATAAGGAAGGAAACCACACCAACTGCTAGTAGAAAGCTTTATTTCTAAATCTAACCCCCCTTAACTCTTTGTTCATATTGTTTTCTATTGTTTTATGTTCTCTTAGCCCCTCCCCACAGATTGTATTGGGAGATGGCCGGCCATATACATAGTTTTAATAAATAAATATCAAGACACTGTAGTATAACGCTTTGGAAAATGGCCAGTTTTAACTGTAAGAAGTAACCTGTACCACTTCAAATGTCAGTTGTAGACAACATCTTTTGATAAAGATTGCACGAGCAATTACTGTAGAGTTGCTTACAAATCAAGCCTTGTACATAAAATGGTAACTGCAGTTTTTTTGCTGAAAGTAACACAACCATACACAGTAAGCACCAAAATGTGTTCCATGGATGATGGGCATACCATATGACTATCTACATGCCTTAAGGGAGATGCTTAAAATTATACCATACAATTTGTAATTAAATATGTCCTTTTCTTTTTTCAATGGAAAAGCAAACTCAAAAGCAGCTGTTGAAAGAAGAATCCCAAAGCGAGGAGTTAATTCTTTCTTTTTGTTCATTCAAGAACATAATGTGCACTTAGCTGTTTTTCCAAAGTAGCCGCTAGGAGTGTATAAATTCACAAAAATATACATTTTTAATTTAAAAAAACAGGCAGAAAAATATCGAACATGCTCCAATGTTCTTCTGCTTTCAACTGTCACATTCAAGGATTCTGTTCAGTAAAATCAAATATTCCCACCGAGCAGAGGATGTTCATAAAATATATAGTTTAATAATAAATTAACCTGTTTTAAATCTGATCCAAATGCCACCAGTATTAAAGGATTTCGCTGCAGTAAAATCGATCCATCTGGTCAAGATTTGGATCCATCAAAATGATATAAAATAGTTACCAATAAAAGGAGAATTTTTGTAGCTCGGGGATAAAATGACGGGTCCTTGGAGCTCTCCGAGCTTGGTAATCTAGCACTGATAATGTTACCAAGTTTGGGTCTGCAAGAAAACAGCCAAGATCAGAGAGCACCAAGGACCCCTGATAAAACAGTTGCATTCTAGTTTAAATAAAGTAAATAAATAAATAGTTGAGGGAAGCCATGCCCATATTTTTCACAAAACAAAGCCATTTGTTACTTTTTTTTTTTTTTTACTACCAACCATTTCTGAAATTGAGGCAGGTTTCCAAAGCTGTTTGCCGTACAGCACATGAGACTTCCAAACCCCATCAGGCAAACTTTAATTCCTGTGTTGAAAATTGCATTTCAAACTACAACTAATACATTGATACAGAGCAATGGCTCACATGTATTTTAATGGCCCTGTTCTCGCCTTTGATCTAATAATCTGCTATGATCAAAAGCCACCGTTTCCCTCATTGTGGAAATGCAGGCTCACAGTTCACTTTCTTCAAGAAAAGCCTAATCTCCTACGAGACCTTGCACCATCAGAGTACAGGACTGACTCCTGCCATTGAAGCTATAAAAACACTGCAACAAAAATAGGTTTAAACAAGACCACATGGAAGATATTGCAGTTGTATGTTATTGTGAACCATAAACAGAAATAGCTTCATGGAACTCTTGGACCTGCGCAGTACTTCAGATTTGATTCCAAAAGGTTCTTTAGAAGGCCCAGGAACATAAAATAAGCGTAACAGTTGTCTGCAAGCCTTCAAAGCAACGACATATATTTCTTGGGACTGCACAGGAAGCGCAAAAGGCTGATGTGCAATCCTGAGTCACTGCAAGATTAAGGTGCTGGTTTTCTCAGCGGCACCTTCTGGGAATCAGAACCGAAATACTACACAGCCAACATCTTCCTCCTAAACTTACCACCTAAAAACAGCCTGCATGTCTGTCTGCAGGTACCATTCAAGGAAATAAAATATTTTAGAAGATGGGCCAGTAAACTGAAAAAAAAAAAAGTTGAATTCAGCAGCAGGTATACAAATTACTTTGAGGAAGGTGTTGTGTTTCATTCACTATGCTTGATTTTTGAATCCCTAAGGCAGCTAATGGAACGGCTGATTTTGTGCTATGGACTTAAAGTTGAAAAGGGAAGAAAAACATCAAAAGGATTTTTTTTTAATCTATAGTGTCTTTTTTTTTAAAGTTGTGCTGTTAATATGAAAGCAACAGTAAATATCCCAAATCAGGAAAAATCAACATCAAAAACAACCTTTGTCAGAAAACATCCTAATTTAGTCTAGTTTTTGTAATGGTTAATATATGCCTAGTTTACACTTGAGAAAAAGTGTATTGAAAACAGTGAAATATAGACATGTAAAATGAGCAGAATTCATTGTCACTGCAAACATTCAAGTGATCAGAATTATTAAAATACAGGTAGTCCTCACCTTATGACCACAATTGAGCCCAACATTTCTGTTGATAAGCAAGACAGTTGTTAAGCTGTTAGGACCTTTCTTGCCACAATTGTTCACTGAATCACTGCAATTGAGTGAATCTGGCTTCCCCATTGACTTTGCTTGTCAGAAGGATACAAAAGGTGATCACGTGAACCCGGGACACTGCAACCATCATAAATATGAGTCAGTTGCCAAGCTTTCCGAATTTTGATCACATGACCACAGGGAATGTTGCAATGGTCATAAGTGTGAAAACTGTCATAAGTCACTTTTTTCGGTGCCTTTGTAATTTCAAACAGTCACTAAACAAACTTGTAAGTCGAGGGCTACCTGTATCTGTAAATGAAGTATTTCATTAGGAACAACTATCAAAGCTGTCAGAAAATGGTTGGACAAAACTTGGAAGATGTTATTTGACTTGGTCTGAAACCAATCTATCATTTGTGAGGTTATCAAATAACTGACTCTATCAAAGCCATGTTTGGCGTTCCTTAAAAGAAGTGGCATATGTGGTTATTTCAATTAATATTGCTGAATCACTTAATATTGTTCAGCTAAGTAGTACAGGTGTAAGATTTGGTGTATTGAAAAGCAATCTTAAATGGCTTCTCAGCTCATATTCATCAGTACACTTGGTGAATGTCAGTTAACCACTCTAGTTGCTATTGCATGTAAGTGAAAAGGTATGAGATTTCTGCTTCAAATCCAAATGCAGCAGTAAACATAATTCAACAGCATTTTGTAATACTATGTTTCCCTGAAATTAAGACCCGGTCTTACATTTATTTATTTATTTATTTGCTTCCAAAAGAGGCACTAGGTCTTATTTTCAGTGGATCTTTTCCACTCACCTCGTGGTGGTGGCACTGACAGCCCCACCCAGCCGTCTCACTTCTTCTGCGGCCGAAGGAGCAGCTTCCTTCTGCAGCTGAGAATGGAGCTCTGCCTGCATTTTGCAGTCAGAGGCCTTTAAATGCAGGCCGAGTTCCATTCTCAGCTGCAGAAGGAAGCTGCTCCTTCCGGCGAGGCAAGTGTCGATCCATGGGAGGCCTGGCTGCAATGGTAAGCTCCACCCCTCACCCCCACCCTAGCTTGATTTTTAGGTGTGTGCCTCACCCCAAAACTAGGGCTCATTTTTGGGGTAAGGCTTATTATTAGGCCCACCCCAAAACTCAAGCTAGGGCTTATTTTCGGGGTAGGTCTCACTTTTGGGAAAACATTGTAGGGTATTTCTTATGCTCGTGAAATTCCATCTGTTTAGAAAAATACCCAGTTGAATTTTAATGCAAGATTGTTGTACCAACTGTCTTTTATATGTTGTACTTATGAAAGATTTATCTTTTTCTTGTCTGCTTCATACCTTAATACATGGAATAACACCACCCACTGGTAAGAGCAGGAGGTATTTATATCCAATTTCATTCCAGTGTAAAATTGAATATCCCATGTTAACTGTTGAGATTAAATTTATTTTAATGATTTCTCTTTCAAATAGTTTTTTTTTCTTATTTAGCAATGTGATTGATAAATTGAAGGGCAAAATCAGGTTTGGGCAACCAAAAAAAAAGAATGAAAAGAAAACTGAAATCTAAAATGAAAAGTATTTTGAAGGTGCCATATTCATGGTCTATGGTTTAGCCCCACAATTCTGAATAAAGCCATCATGCCTATCACTTTATGCTTTTGGTTGTGTTAGTGTTTTTTTCACTCTCACTATGTGCATGTTAGTAGCAAACATTAAAAAAAAATTCTCTTAGATCCATATGCAGATGATTTGAACTCACATGTTCTGTGAATCATTTGAGCATGCATTATAATTAATCATGAAGAATCTCTCACCTGTCATCAGTAGCAATTAGCAGACTTTCTGAGATTCAGAGAGGATCACTTGACTACCCTGAGATGTTTGTGGCTAGGATGAATTATAAAAACTGAGTGTAGACTTGTTTAAAGAAAGAATAGTTCTTGCTGTGAAAAGCTAATGCATGCTTTGTGTAATTATATTCACTGTTAATATTATGAAGAGTTATTTAAAATGCTTTTTAAGATGTTAATGTTAATACATTGGAATATTTTTTTTAAAAAAGGAATAAAATACTGGGATAGGTACAACAGCTTTATGAAAATAAAGCCTTACGATATAGTTATTGAAAACAGACAAGTTAATATTTTTTCCTTACTTTATTCCAAATGGCTGATCGATCAAAAGAACTGAGATAGGCTTAGAATATAATTATTTTTAAACATTTTTTTACCTTATTTCTCCTCTCCTTTTCTTTCGTTGTACATTTTAATGTAGAACACACTTTTCAAAGTTCGTGCTACTGATAATATTATGTGCAATGTTTGAACAAACATGATTTGGGATTTACTTTAATCACAATCCAAATTCTGAAAAACAACACATTTTAATATTTTCTCTTGGAGGACAACTAGTGATTAGATGAACTGCCAGATGACTGATGGAAAACAAGTGTCCCCATCTTCAAAATAAAGAAAGAATACAGGGAGGAATTAGTGTCATTCGGTGTACCAC